TATTCTGGATGAATTTCTCCTTCGTCTCTCATCTTTGAGATAAATGTTGCCATATTACAATACCATAGAGAGGATCTTCGGTTCTTTATCCAATAAAATTTCAACTTTTTGATGTAAAGTTATTTACAGCCCAGATAAATTAATGCAGTGCAGTCTACCTCATTCTGTCATGAGTTCATGTTTCTAGTATTATCATGTCATTTTTATTTGCAATTTGGTAATTATTAATAGATTAAATGTTTTGTATTATTTAAAAATAGCTTGCTATTTTTTAGGTTTGTTTAAGAGTAGTTTTGCCATTTCAATAAGACTTACTTGTACAAATAGATCCTAGTATTGTAATTCAATCAAAATTGATAATGGAACAAGCAACGTTTCTTTTGGTTTCCCCTCAAGGAATTCATTCTAATGTAGAACGGGTAGGACGGTTTTGTTAGAGAGAGGGTCCTTTGCAGGAATTTTCAGGGCAGCAGCAGTTTGAAGCTTCAAGTTGATGAGAATCCAAAAACCACTGCAGGAATTTTCTGGCAGCAGCTTTGGAGTTCTTCTTGGACAGTAGTTACGTGCTCTGGATCTTCTAAACAGCAGGTTTTAGGTGCTTGGTACACAAAACAGCAACCAAGAGGAGTTTGGACAGCATTGGATCGAATTTTGGGGCTGACCCTCTAGTGTAGAACTGCAGATTTCTGCTGGACAGCAATTTACCAATTTCCAGAAGTCTGGACAGCAACCCGGCTCAGGAAAATAAACAGGTTTTCCAAGGTCAGTTGGGGAAAACAGAGTGGTGTAAGGGATTAGGAGTTCCCTTGCAACCCTCCTTTCTCTGAAATTAAGTTAGAGAGCTGTGGAGAGAGAGGGATACGGTGGGAGCAGGCTGGCAGCAAGAGGGGGGGAGGGAGAAAACGTGGAGAGGATTGAATTGCTTGACTGGCTAATAAATTTTAATTGAGACAGTTTGGAGGGAATTATGCTCAATTTGAATTTGAATGGGGCTTAATTTTAGGAGTTAATGAGGGAGTAATAATGGCTAGAACTAATGAGAGAGAGAGGGAGGAGTGGAGATCAGGTCCACATTCAATGAATGTGGACCACACAATGAATTGTAATTAATGCCTAAATCTGAGAATTAATCTCAGATTTAAGGTGATGGAGGGATATTTCCTTCAAGGCTTAAGCATAAATAGAAATCATTTGAAATTCAAATTATTTTGAATTTGACTTCAAATCCTTTCCTAAAACACAAGGGGCTAAATATGGAAGGTATGAATGGGGAATTTTAAATCCAATCCAATTAGAGATTAAAGTGGATTTGACTTGAAAACTTTCCAAAATAGAGTTCTAAATTTGGAAAGATTTCAAAATTCAAATTTCATTGAACAATCAAGGTTTTCCAAAGGGGTTTTCCAAACAAAGATTATGATTTAGGAAAATTAATATCGAATCCAATCTATTTTGAATTAGATGGATGTCATAATTAACTTTCCTATTTTGGAATTCTAAAATGGAAAGAATTCGAAATTCGAAATTTGAATTTCAAATTTGGTTTTCCTAATTTAGGTTTTGGGATTAGGAAAGTTTCAATTTGCCATGAGGTGGAGAGGGTATGAAGGATTTCGGGTGGAGGTGAATCCGGTGGCCAAACGAAGATGGGGAGGAGGAAGATGATGGAAAAAAAAAATTAAAGAAGAGAGAGAACAAAAACAAAGATCGAAACAAACGATAGAGAGAAATTAAAAAAACCGCGAGCCTTGGACTCTTCCGAAGACTGACGGGTGATCCGATTGCCCTTCTCCAAGGGACTTCAAAATCACGAGCCCGGACCCATCCTGCGGCTGGTGACAACTCCGATTCCTTCCCATATGAATCTCACTCTCGTCCTCTCTCAAGAAGAACACAAGTGTGGAAAAACACAAAATTTTCATATTCATTAACCATTCTATTACAATAGCTAAAGGCCCTATATATATGCCACAACATGAGAAAATAAAAAATTACAAAATTGCCCCTTGGGCCACAACACTCAAATAAATTAACCTAGGGGTAAAATAGAAAATAGCATAAAATAGAAACTAAAATGCAGAAAATAATTCATAAATGACAACTTAAATCAGAGCCATCGATTTACGACGCCTCCTGTGATAGATGCGTCAGATTTTCGTGCCGATGTCCGCATCACATTCTATCTTCTATTGTTTCTTCTTTCCTTCTCCTTCTCTACCTCTTGCCTCCATAGATATTATGTTATATAATTTTCTACATTCTTCTCATTATTTTTTAGGTTCTCCCCTCACATTGGATCCCTCCCTTTCCAACAAATTTTACTAGCCCACTTTATCTCAAGAGTTTTTTTTTTTCCTTCTCTTTTGAGATTGGTGGGGAATCTCAACAAGTGTATCCACAATAATCAAGGATTTTAGAGCATTTTCATAGAATTAAAAAAACTCAAAAAAAGAATGATTAGTTTCAAAGCAATACCTTATACCTCAAACTTTTAGAGGATAAGTCAATAATATAAACATTAATAAGAGGGATCACAAAGTATGGATGTGATAGAAGATTGTTGTTTGTTCTGCTTGTACTTTCCAATATCATAAAATTTCCCAATTATGAAAAAATAGATCCTCAATTTGATAAAAAAAAGGGGAAAAAAGGAAAGTAATAAGAAATTTTTGCATAAATGTCTGAAATTTAAAAAATATATATGTATATCAATTGAATATAGAAATAATGATTAGACTGAGTGATGTACTCACACATATAAAAGATAATATAAAATTTCTTTTTAGGCTCTCTTGCTATGGCCATCTAAATACCATCTTACAACAATAACTAAAACTTAAAAATATGAGTGGATGATAAGGATGACAATATTAGTCGAAACTCGCTCAAATTTTAAGTTAGTGACTTGAGTCATTAGAGTTAGACAAATGGACCCCAAGCCGGCAAACCCAAGGAAGCAAAATCCAAACCTCTTCCTACCATGATCATTGGATTTACCACCATCATTGGATAGTATAAAATTAAAAAAAAGAAAATATAACTAATATTGTTCATAACAAAAAAAAATAGAGCAAGAAATCTAAATGCATCAGTTAAGTTGTAAACTAATTCACAGCTTGAAAATAACTTTTAGTTGGTTATGAACATACATGAACACACATTTGCTCGCACAGCAAATACAATTTCATGTTGTTTTTGAATTTTTATATTAATAACAGATTTAAAAGTAAAAACTAAATGAAAATCAAATATAAAAATATTTGATAGGTGGTATTCAATTTCTAGCCATTTCAAGATTTGGATAAGTTTAAGTGGAAATAATATCATATGAGTTATGTATTAGTAATTTTGAGTCAAGTTAAACTGGTCTTGAATTGGCTCAAAATAAGACCCATTTTAAGTCAAATTGACAAGCTCCGCTTGACTCAAACAAAATTCAAGTTGAAGTAGATTCCAAGTCAAATTAACCTCAAGAACTTTAAGTTCAAGCCAAGCATGAATCACTCAAATCCACTCGACACTGCCCCAAACGGATGACAAAGAAACCAACGAATAAGCATAGCCTAGTTGATAATATTTAATAGTGCAAAACTATTTAATTTAGAAGGTAGTTAGGTATTTTCTAATCATAGAGATGTATAATTATTGCTTATCAACTACAAACGAACATCATAAGACCTCGCACAAAGGTAGGCAGTTTTTTTCTGAAATTATAAAAAATGCCACTTTTGCTTGAATGGTTCTCAACAAATTATTAAGGTAGCATAGCAAACCCTTCTCTAGATAACATCAGGAGACAAGTTATGGGCATTCAAACAAAGGAGTGCACAAAGATTAAGCAGCGTTGATATAAAAAATATTTCATTCTTAGTTGATGAAATGTTAAACTAAATGGAATTGGAAAAAGCAACAAATCAAAGTGGCAAACAAGTCAAGATTCACTATGCTGTGATTGGATGTAGGAAATTTGGCAATTTCAGCTTAAGGAAACTCAAATCAATGGTTGTAAATTCATAATCAGCCAGATTTTATTTCATTTCTTTAAATTTCCTCAAATCCAAACAAGTTCATAAGGTACAGTGATTGCAGAAGTTCCCAACTTTTCAGGAATCAAGGAGCAAGCATTCAAGCTCTGTGGTTACTTTAGCAAGTTTCATCTTGTTCGTATCAATCATAAAAACTAAAAGAAGGTAATGCAATTTTGTTTAAATCATAAGGGGCTTCAAAATTCAGTACATATTAAGAAGATGATATCTAGAGCGCCTTACATGTGTGAAGAGTTTTGAACGCTGATCTTTCCCGCCAACATAAAATATGCATGTTAAAGAAGGCAACCAATTAAGCAGCTCGCTCTGTATGAAAAATTATATCAGGAAACAGCTATTTCAAATAAAAAAAGGAGGGAGAAGGCCATATGCTGAGAACAAATTTTACCTTCCAATTTACTAAAACAGCATTTGGAACTATGATGAGATGTGGCCCGTAATTCCCTTTAAACTCCATCAAGTAAGCAATCAATGCCATAACCTGTTTGAAAACATAAATGTCAAATCTTCTACAACAAAAATAGCAGAATAAATTGCAACATTGGGGGATTAAATGCTAAAAAAGGTATAATGGCACATGACTGAATATTTTCTATAATATGCGATTATATTCTCCACCTTTCTGTAATCATAAATTTCAATCATAATTGATTGTATAAAGCGTAAAAACCACAGCCATCTGCTTCCAAGTTTAGCAAGAAAAAAATACAAGAAATGTTCACATGCATATATGAAAAGTGAACAGGAACAAACCAGGGAAAATGAGAATAGAAAAAAAAAACTACTATTATTAAATGTCACCGGATGAAGCAATATATGAAGTGTAACCTGCACAGTCTTGCCAAGACCCATCTCATCTGCCAAAATACCATTCAACTTATTGTTATACAAGGAAAGCATCCATTGCAACCCAACCTGTCAAGTTAGAGAAAGATATTGGCATATTACATCATCAATTTAGTTTAGTATGAATACATCAAAGACGTAGCATCTCACAAGCTGATAATCTCGCAAAGTTCCAGTTTTCAACATAGATGGTTGTCTGACAACTCTCTCACTCACAGCATGCGCCAAATTATAATACCTGGAGACCAAGAATTGTTTCAGCCAAATCCAGCAAAGGCAAACAGCTTCACAAAAAAACTGATGTTAAATTCCATAGATCAACAACATCAAATTGTGTAGCAATACAATTATCCTAAACTTGCTGAATTATCTAACGCCATTAAATAATATAGAAATAATCTCTTTCGGGAATTGGGACTGGGGTCATAAATGAGCTAGTACATTCAATAAATAACTCGATACTCAGTTATACAATGCTAATTTTTATTTGTTTATTTAGATAGCTCAACAAGCATAAACAAAACTAATAAAGCTCAATCTAAAAATAAGCAAGTTTGAACATTGAATCTTTGGTTCATTTATATTTGAGAACATAGTCATTTGTTGTTATACAAACAGCTCGTTATGATCTTGATAAAATGTTCATTTAATAATGACTAAATTCATTTAGTTATTTGTTGACTTAATCTATGTTCTTGTATCAATTTTCTTATATTATGTGCACTTTAAAATTATGTATATTAAAAGTACAAATATGATAAAAAATTTTAGCAAATAGGTACGTGGATAGACTAAAAGCTACATTTGTTTTTTATTGACATTTGAAAATCACAAATTATGAATAAATCTATTAACATTTATAGTAAATTTTGAATAAATTTAATGAATACGCCAACATTTAGTATCAATGATTTATCTTTAAATCATTAGCATCGTATGAATACCTAGTTAGGCTCTACTAAAGCCGAATTAAGGCTTGAACTTTATAAAAAACTTCAAAAAAAATGAGTTTGAACAAGATTTTAAAACTTTGTTCATGATCAAGTTCAACTCAAACACAATCATAAAATAGATGAATGCACTTGAACAAGAAAACACTCAGCACGACTCCATTTATTTATAACATTATAGAAAATAAATCATCCATGACTGCTCATATTGTTTCTGACAACCAAAAGAAGAAGGATAATGAACAGTATGTCAATGAACTCACTTGTTTACAGATGAATTTTCTTTTGGAGCATTCATTTCAGAAAATTTGTTTCTAATCAAAACTTCTTGCCCTGCACAGGTAGCTGCGGCCTTGACTTCTTCTTCTGAAAAACCCTGTATATAGAAACTTCCTTTACAATCTTGCAAGTGCATAGAATCAAATGGAAAGGTGGCAAAAAGAAAATGTACAAAAATGATATTGTAAATTATGTGATAATCATTATCACACAAAATTACCTGGGCTCTTGCAGCTGCAGCTGCAGCATTGGCTGCCTCTTCCATCTCTTGGTTATTCTTTGCTGCTGTTATTTTTCCTCCTAGCTTGAGAAGATACTCCTCTGTCTGAGACAAAAAAGAAGACAAAACAACATATCTTTGAGCTGCATCACCAGGAACATTTGTTTGTTGCTCCAACAACATCTCACGATATCTATCAACATCATTGTTCTTCAAGGCCTCCATTCTTTTGTTTCTATCATCATCCTTTCTTTTCGTAAATTCTCTCAACATTCTCTCATGATATTTAGCAACTCCTCTATTGCGAGTAGTTCTTGCATCACGAATAGCCCAGTGAGACTCCAGAAGCTTTTTACGCCACTGAAAGATAGATTTTAGTTGCTTTTCTCTTGAAGCCTTCTGGAGCTGTTGAACTTGCCTGATGAGGTCAATGCGTTGCCGCTCACATTGTTTGACAAACTTCCGGTATGGCCTGTCAGACATCGCCATTATCTCTTGTTGTTCTCGATCTACCTTATCTCTTAAATGAGATTGAAGTTCTAGAAGTCTGAGCTTTCTTTCTTCAATCTGTAGTTTCAACACAAGGTCAGGTCTAATTCTTTTCCTCTCCAAGTTAACAGCAAGCAGGCCACTAATCTTTCTCAAATTTTCTGCCCGCTTCTTGTTGAGTACATCCATACCTTCATCAAATAGCAAATCTTTTGCATCATATGATAACGCCAAATTGCTTACATAATTAATTGTATTAGATCCCAAATCATTCTTCTTTATGAAAGAAGGGAAGTCAAAAAGTGGACCATGATACTTCCTTACTAAAGCATCTTTTGCAAGTGCTATGTTGGCTATAGGAGCCGGTTTTTCTGTTTGTCCAGCATCTGCTTTTACCTTCTCAACACTGTTATCACCTTTGGTCAATACATTTTCGCTACTCTTTTCAACATCTTGCAGCTCAGATTTAACAAAAGACTTATTGTTTTGCTCAGCATTCACCTGGGATGCAACCCGTGCAGATTCACTGGTAATACCTGTTGTTAATTGTGAGTGACAGGTAATGACCCCTTTTTCTTCTATAGAGGACTCATCTTTAGGAAAGCTATGGCCTTTTCGCACAGAAGGAAGCTGTGGAGCCTTATCATCAGTCTGCACATGCCTTGCAAGCCCTTCAATGCTGTTCATAGCGTGTCTTTCCTGAGCAACCATACCCGATGGAGGTGAAACTTGCCGCAACTGGTTATCAAGTGGTGGTGGTGCAATTGCTTGAAGAACTTCAGGAGGAAGAGCATGCTCGCCACGCTGTGATATGCCAAAATAACTAAAATATCAATCTCATAGTTACACTGAGTTTTGCACAATTGAAAGCATTTACCAGTAAAAACATCAAAACCCAATATTTGGGCAATAGAATCTTCTATGCACATGCCTAGGATGCATGAAAAATTTCACAAATACCAAGGTTTCTCATGTGAGATGTGTCAAGAACAAATATGTATCTGACGACTGGCACGACACATAGAACAATCAAACACGGAAGCAACGTGTCCAAAAATAAATAAGTTCAAACACATGTTGAACATGGTGAGACATGGAGAGGACATAAAGAGACAGAGAGGACCATGCTACAATTTTAGCATATTTTTTTATTTTTCAATGAACTTGAAATACTTTTCTCATTTGAAGACAGCAAAATTAACACAACCCATTGATGTCTTTTGTGAATTTTTTTTTTTTTAATTAATACTTTAATGTTGGAAAATTTTTAATATTTGTAACGAGCGGTTTTGTTGATTATAATTTTACAAGTAATGACAATATGAGAACTATGATATTATTTAATAATTTGTCATAATTAATTTAAAAGTTTATTATTATCATGAAATACATGCTATGTTCATTTCAAACTCGTCTACTATACTTATCAAGAATTGAAGCGACCCATTTGCAATGATGAATTTCTTTCCACCTATTTGAGTCCAAGCATCAGGCGCAAAAAAAATATATTTAAATAAAATTGGGCATGTCGAGAGAATGTGTAAGGAAGCATGCATGTAGAAACATTACAAAGGATAACACAATTCTATTTATTAGTACCTTAAGACGCCTAAAGGCCAATATTTGTGCTTTTAAGACATACAACTGTGGTTTTGTAAATCCAATGGACTGGTGGGGCATAGGCATAGATCCAATTTGAGGTGGTATCTGAACAGTCACATCCTCACTAGAAGTAACAGCAGGTGGAGACATTGTTTGGGTCCCTTGTTCCAACTTTGTATGCTGCATCCTCAATGCATCAGAGCCCATAATTGTATTATCTGCATTTAGCTGGTCAAAACTTTGTTTGAGAATGCTAGAAGACTTCGGTATTTGCATCATTGAACCACCATTTCCAACAGCAGTCAGATGTTTAACAACTTTATCATTAATGTTTTCCCTGCTTAGAGGCAGTGATTGCTGTTGTACTTGCATATTATACAAGTTTGGTTCACTGGCAGAGCCACCATTATTAATTAATGATGCTGGAGTAAATGTTTTCTGGCTGTTGACAGTCCCACCCTGAGTAACAAGTTCACCGAATGAATTTCCTTGTCCAGTATTTTCATTTCCACCTTGTGAAAATACAACTTGTTGCTTTGATGAAGGTAAGTTTGGCTGAGAAGCTGCCATATTGGGCTCATTGTGCTTCTGAAATGCCGCCATTCTACCCTGTTGCCAAAGTGGAAGAATCTGAGTCATCAGGTTCAAGTTTGAAGGATGAGAGAGATCAATGTTATGCTCCAGGGCCCAAGTTTGCATTGCTTGCAACTGGATAGCCATTTGACTACTTGAAGTATTCTGCATGATTGGTTGAGAATTTAGAGATTGCATAGGCCTTGTCACATTTGTTGCAGTTAATTGTCCTGTAACCATCTGAGGATGTTTTAGCTCACTTTTCTGATCTACACTAGTTTGGCATTGCTCCATCTGCTTCTCAAAATGTGAAAAAGTTTCACCTGGCCTCTTAAATACAGTGGCATGTGCCTGGTTGGTAACCTGAAGGGAGGCAAGATCCTGCATTTTCAAAGTGTTCATAGGCACATCTTGATCCCTCCGAGTAGAGCCAACCAGTCCAACTTTACCTTGCTGCTGGGCTAACAGATTCCCATGATATTTCTGTTGAGCATTCTGCAAAGCAAACTGAAGGTAGGCTTGATGGACAGGGTTCTGCATTTGCTGAGATAAGACTTGCGCTCTGCTCTGATTTTCATCCATTGGCTGGGCCAAGGCATCATCAAATTTCCTTTGTGATTGGTGCATAGCCATAGCACTAGAAGAGGAAGGGAGGTTAGTCCTGCCTATTACTCCATGCATACCACCAGTATGATAAGCCTTGAGAGAATCTTCTACTTCAGCTCTTCTTAGATGTTGATGCTGTTGTGACAGTTGTTGCTGTTGCAAAGACTGCAAAGTATTCATAAAGATATTGAATATTTAAACAATAGTTTTTTTAGAAAGAGACAAGTATTCATTGTTAAATAGCAATAATCAGTTAAATAAGGTCAATTATTAAAGAGCTGCTCAGAGTCCAAGAATAAGTCAAGTTGAAATCTCAATAGCTAGAAATGCCAAATATGTTAGGCAAAGATAGCTAGGAAGATTCCAATAATCAAACAAAATTATATGAGACTTTTCATCACACAAGACCATTGATGAGAAACAAACCTCATAGATACTCCAAACATCCACGATGCAGCAAAGAATAGCAAACTTCATTATGAAGCTCCATTTATTAGTTCATATAGAGAAACAAAAATTTCACCACCAAAAATACTCAAAAATCATGGGTACTGCTTAAATACTGCATCAATATGGCCTTGCAAGGTAGTTTAAACATGTCCAAATCTCTTCACACTTTAACATGGTAAAGCATATAAGCTAAGGGATAGATAGCATGCTTGTCTAGTGCCACAAAAACATAGAGAAACATTGAAGATTATTTAATCTTCAGATTCAAGCAAGGATGAAGTTTGAAGAAAGAACGACACAGAGTATCATGAAGTTTGATATAACCAAGAAATCAAAATTGAGCATAAAAATAAAATTGGAAATGCAAGATTCAACCTTGGTGAAACATATAGTCAACTAAAAAAAGCTGCACGTTAAAAAGCTTGAAATCAGTAACAAAAATGAGAAAAAAAACTTGTTTCACTGCAAGAACCTGAAAACATTTGAAGTGTACTCAGGAGGACTTGGAATTTTTTGCATCTTTATTTTCAACAGCATCACATCTTACGCTTAATTATAAAGATTCCATTCACGGGATGAATAAATAGAAATTGTGACCTAATAAAATTAGACATATTGACAAGAAAGAAGGTTGGAAGTGGAATATAAGATACTCTGTTTTCACGCTTTTGTTAAAAGTATACATGAATCATTTTGGCATATAATCGGAACATGTGAGGTACATTTAGTCCAGTAACAACACAAATGGAGTATTCAACGTATCCAACATGCTTGAAGCATTCTAGGAATAAACAAGCACAAAGATGGTAGAAGATGCACAACCAGCGATGAAGCAAGCTGCGCTACCACAGAAACCTAAACTTAAACTTGGGAATGCCCAAAAAAACAGCAGAGGAAACAAAGTAAGGCCGTGAACAAGGCCAAAATCTAAGAATTGGTCTCGTACAACACGATAAGTTGTGGGCATTGATAAAAACAGTGAAAGCAGAAAGAAGACCAGGAAAAAAATAGACTTGGTAACTTCAGAGCTGGCAACCAATAAGCATCACACAGTGAAGCTAGATTAAGGGACCCCAAAAGTAACGAAGATATTGCGAAAACCAGCAATACGCATGCTGTGAGAGTAACCCAAGATGGAATCCAAGCCGTAGAATCCGAATGCGAATCCTAAAAAAACCCCAATACATGGAATTAAAGAAGTCCAGCCCGTCCCCACTTCCCCTAATTCTGGAAACAACAATAACGACCGACTTTTTTCTCAGATCCCCATGCAACTAGCGCAACGGCCGCGGACCAAAACAACATCTGATGTATCGGAAATAAAGCGCGTCAAACACGCACTCACCTGTCGAAAGGCCAGATGTTGCTGCTGTTGTTGTTGCTGCTGTTGCTGAAGCTGCAGCTGCTGAATAGATTCGAACCCTAAATGCCCATGTGCGGACATAGCCGAAGAGGAGGACGACGGCGATGCGGAAGACGACGAGTTAGGACGTGACGGAGGAGGAGGAGGAGCCACCGGATTCCGGCCATTTCCGGATATATCACCCCCGGAATTCATTACCGAACTCCCTGCCCGAGCAATCAGAGTCTAAGACAGCGTTCCTTCAGGGGGTAAAAAAGATCTGCAGATCACTGGGCCTCCCCTCGCCAGTTCCGGAAATTCTGGTCACCAGATCCGGCCGTTGAGAGGCACTTACCCTTCATTACCATCAGCCCGTCAGCATCAAAAGCAGGTTCGATGAGGGAGCAAAAGCGATTTTTACCGGCACCTGCTCCTTCGATGCACGGATTTCAGAAACAAAATGGAAGATCGCGAGCGCGGATGGCCTGCCGGAATACCACGATCTTCCCGCGGCGATGGATATTAAGTATTAACTCGCACAATTTTTCAAAAACTTCGATTGCGTTTCCTAGTCAAACCCTAACCCATGCCTGTTTTTTTTTTTTTTTTTTTTTTAGGCCTTTTTTTTTTTTTTTTTTTTCTATTTCAATTTATTTTATTTTTTTCCCCGAGTATGGTTCTGCTAACCCGGGTTACTTGACCACCTCTGTGGGACCAGGAACCGGGACCACGGGAGGTAAGACGTGAACAAAAAGCTTTTTTTTTTTTTTTGGGAAAATATATACTTTTTTTTAAATAAACAAACAAAGCCGTACCTTTTTTTTCTATAAACAAAGCCGTACCTTATAATTATACAGATAATGTATAATACATTGGGTGACGTGATCGCCTCTGATAAGTTTCTGAAAATATTCGACATTCGCACGGAATAATCTCATCGAGTTAGGCATCAAGTAAATACATTTAGTCGTATCATGTATGGCTTTTTGTTCATGTCTTACCATCATTCATGGGCGTTGGACCCTAATCCCAAGGTTAGCATAACTATACTCGAGCCAAAAAAAAAAAAAGAATGTGAAATAGAAAAAAAGAATTAAAAAAACAGGCATGGTTTAGGGTACTAGAAAAAACAAGCGAAATTTTTGAAAAATTGTGTGTTATTAGCCATTGCCACGAGAAGATTGTGGTTTTTTGACAGGTGATCTGTCGTCGTGATCTTCGATTTTATTTTTGAAATCCATGTATTGAAAGAGCGGGTGATATTATTACGTGTGAATGCAGAACATTTTTGGAAGCTAATCAAGGGCCGCTACATCACATAATGTACATTGGGTGACGTGGCGGCTCCAGATTGACGTCTGGATGCATTTGACATCTGCACGGAATACTTTTTTCCAAAATTCTGATAAACTTTTTTGTTTTTTTAATCAGTAGGGAATTAAGAGTAGGGTTCAATTTTTATAAATGAGAATATATTACAAAATATTTCGGGTGTGTAATTCTATGAAATGAAAAATACATCTTTATAAAAGCAACTTGAAAACAAAAAAAAAAATCATGAAGATCAAAATTATAGTTACATAAAAAATAATAGATACAGAATATTGATGCAAAATTTCATATAAATTTTAGGTATTTATAAATATCATAATTATAGCACAATCGAGCGAATGAGAAATAACATAAAGCTTATAAGATATTATCTACGATGCAAAAGCTTAACAATAATGGTCCAAATCAAATCTAAATAGTAGCAAATAAAAAAATCAATAAAACAGCTTCAAAATATAGTTTTAGACCCAACAAAAATAGTAGCAAATAAATTTTATGGTAATATAAAATAAAATTAAAAAAATTTGCAAAGCAATCCAGTCAAAAAATTAATTTGTAATATCCAACATGTCTTGATAGCATTTTCATATGTTCAATTTGGCATGTAATGAATTCCTTGTCTTGATATATAATGTTATGCAAATAATAACATAAAACAACACAAATCATTCAACCAAACACAATAAACACCATGTGATTTAAGTGGTCCTCCTGTGGAGCATGCTTCGTTTTCCCTTCGCACCTTTCTCACGACTCACGACCTCGAGCGGGCTTCTGTTTAGTGAGCAGAGACTCAACACAAACAGAGACTGCCCCCAAACAGCTTGATTTTCCTCAACTCAAACGGCCTGCTTCGTTTTCCCCTTTACTCCTCTCTCGCGACTTGCGACTCACGACTCAAGCACGGCTTTCATTTTCCATTTCGCTCCTCTCTCACCCCCCAAATGGAGACTGCCCGTGGCAGATATATATTTATGTCTTCTAAGCTCTAAAGGTCGTGTTATTTGCATTATTATTTGATCTTAACACTCCTCTTGGCTCTGGTAATGAGACGGCAAATGGAACCATTTTAATATATTCTAACATAACATTTCATATGAGACGACAAACATAACTATTTTAATTTAAGCCCCCTTAATAAAATTTTGTCTCAGTCACTTCCTATGTTCACACATAGTAGATGATTTCACCATATTATAGATAAACAATATTACATTTGGCTCTCTTGCTCTCAATTACAGCAGCCCTCAACCTCTATATATATAGAGGTTTGAAATAAAATTAAAAAAGGAAAACCTAATTAATGCTCTAATCAATATCATAATTAATTTTTTTAATTAAGGCATAATTTGATTTCCTATTTAAAGCCAATAAAAACTTTTCTAATCAATGCTAAAGAAAATATAGAAGGATTTCCATAACAGATAATAGAGGTAAATAGGTCTTGATTGCATTTTCATATGTTCATTTTGTCATGCAGTGAATTCCTTGTATTGATTGTTTAGGCAGACAACTAGCATGATTGCCATTATTTTATTTTATTTTTTGTGCTTCTTTTCTTTAATATATGATAAACAATATAGTCTATAGAGGAAATAAACTTGTTGAAGAGCTCTTGAGATATTTCAATTCCCCTAAGGTGTTTCAAATTATGATTTCAAAAAACTAGCAGTCAAAATAAACATTTTGGTTAGACAAGTTCTACAGTAATGTTGTTGTTACTATTAGTATTGTTATTGTTGTCGTCGGTGAGACGAGCTCAACAACGTTATAAGTGTTTTGATATGAATCAAAATAAACTCAAATCAAGTACTTGAAATGTAATTACAAACTTTGTGATTAATTGAATAATCAAAAGATTTATGAATATTACGCATTTGAAGTCAATTTTAACATCTGAATGAGCGAAATTTAAAAAGCCTAAAATCACTTATTTTTAAGTTCATTAAGGGAATTAAATATTGAATGAGCAATTTGTGGTCAAAGGAACTAACACGAGATGCATGCCAGATGTATCAACTTTGACTCTCGATATCAACATCAAGATTGTTTTGTTGAATTTCCCTTCTCAAAGGAGAAGGGCCAAACAAATATCAAACAACTCTTGAAGATTACTCCCATGGCACAAGCATGGGTGTAAACATGGGTCGATGGGTCGGGTTTGTTATATTTTGTGTTTTTTCAAAAGGAATTTTATAATATTTGAGATTAATTTCATAACATTTTTTTAATTCTATAATATTTTAAGCCAAAAGGGCTATCTATTTATGGTCTATATAAGACCTTATTAGCTATGATAAAAAAAAAAATTAATATATTCTTCCTTCTCTCCACCTTACATCTATTCAGATCAAATATAAACATCATAGCTCCTACTACACATTATGATTAGTGCACATCTCCATAAAGAATCCATTGAATTATGAGAATTAGACCATTATGTAGCTTTGCACCTGGGAGGAGCGAAAATCTAACTTCAAAAATAGTGCTTCGCACGCCTCAATCTACTTATTTGATAAGTTATCTAATGGCAATTGTTTTACCGCTCTTCTTTTTATGCAACAATCTTGAAGTTAGATCATATGAATTTTACAATGATTAGTACGACTAGAGTAATTTGCAACTTAATAAAAATCAAGGCCTTCTCGGGACAGAATTTTAATAGGTGGAAAGTAAAGGTTATGTTTATCATTGATATTGTTAAAGTTGAGCATGTGTTTATCTCATTATCACCTTCTATGAGAATAGAAAATTGTGATACAATTCTAACTAATTGGAGTAATGCAAATAAGATTTACAAGACAATTATTTTTTATGTTTTATCAAATGAGTTATTTGATGTCTACAACAAAATTAAGTATACTTCTAAAATTTGAAAAATGTTAAATAAGAAATATGTGGTAAAAATATCAGAACCAAGAAGTGCACTATAGAAAATTTCTTTGCCTTTCAGATGATTGACTCTAAGAAAATTTTTGGGCATATATATATTTTTCCTATTCTTATTAGTTTGCTTATGAATAAAAGAAGTAACTTGTCATAATCTTTTATCACTGCATCCTTGATTGATAAATTACCCGAATCTTGGAAGAAATATAAAAAAAGCGTGAGGATATGAGTTTAGAGCAAGTTATTATTGATGATATTAGCAAGAAAAATCAAGAGAATTAGAAATGATAGACGAGGAGAATATAACTCAAGACTTCTTAGTTCATTTTGTGAAGCTCATGATTTTATTCATCTAGTAACATCACCTTATTCGCCAGAATATAAATGTATACCTAAATGTTAAATAGAACCTTAAAAGAAATTATGAATACTATGTTTATTAGTTATGGTGCTCTTGATTTTCTATGGGGTGAAACTATTATATTTATATGTTATGTACAAAATAGAATTATTTTTACACCTTTTGAATTTTGGGAGAATAGAATACCCAATCTAAATATTTTTAATGTTTGGGGTGTCTTGTTAAGGTTCTTCTACCATATCCTACGGAAAAAAAAAATTGGTTTAAGAACATGTAATTATTTTTTCATAGGATATACAGAAAATAGTGCAGCCTATATATTTATGAGTTTAAGTGGGATGATTTAGAAATTTTTGGATTCATCAAAAAGATCTTCATTCTCATAAAAATAATATAATTGTATAAACACTTATTCCAAATAACTTGAATAGTATCATTTTCGTAATTCTTTAATTAAAATATATCAATATACCTTACTTCGGCTTCAATTTGTCCATAGATTCCTTTAAATTGGAGAAACTTGGGTTTCTTTCTTTTCTCTTATGTTAATTATTCATTTGGAGAAACAATAACTCATTTTAAGAGCTAGGAAGAGGACCGATAGTTATTTTCCTGAAGGGTGTTTTATTTCATGAAAAGATGTTTCGCTTAATCTAACGGTTCATAAATGATTGATCAAAACTCTTTCTTGACCAATAGGATTGAAGCATTTAATTAAATTAATTATTAAATTATTAATTGAATAATCATAAATATGAGCCACATTCATAAATTTATTTATTTAATTAATTCTTATATTCTCCCACTTGCTCATATGATATTATTCAATTTAAACATTTCTAATTATAAACATAATGTGCATTGCATATCAAACTTTCTTAATTTGATCGAATCATAATGTATTATTAAGTAAAAAAATTAATAAGGGCAATAGTGGTTATACATTATTAATGTAACATATTCCCTTCCATGTATCACAATATTAATTTTACACTTTAAATGATCTTTAATAAGAGAAACACATAATGGTCTAGCATTAATGTCTTTATTACATATAATTATGTTAACATTCACATAATTCTTTCATGTATACACACATCAACATAAAAGGATAAAAATATGTGCTGAGAGAGTCAAATATAAACGAGCATAAATATAATATAGAATCAATAATGCTCTCCTATAACACCCATCCTCTCAACATGTTCATTAAATATCTTGGGAGGCGACCCTTTAGTTAATGTATCAACAATCATAAGATTGGTGCTAATGTGCTCAATTGTCAATCTCTATTTTTAAACATTTTCTTTAACATCAAAGTATTTCAATTTGATATGTTTAACATCATTTAAATACCTATCATTTTTAGAAAAGAATATTGTTGTAGTATTATTATGATGAATTTTCAGTGTTTTAATAATACTATTGACAACCTTAAGTCCTGAAATAAAATTTCAAAATCATAATCTTTGAATTATGGCTTAAAAAATGTCACAAATTCAACTTCTATATGATATTTGGAAATTGTAGCGTCATTTTGTGACAAACCACCGCCACGACATTTGACACATGTCAATGCCGCAACGCTGAAGTCAATGAACCACTGCGGCGCTCTAAATGAAACAATTATGATGTCTGACGATGCCGCGACACTTGCTAATAACACCGCAGTAGCACTCAACTAACTTTAGTAATTAAAGTTATAAGCATACAATATACTTTCAACTTTTTGCAGAGGCACTTTTTTTATTTAAATGATCGAGCGCTACGACACTAGAGCAATAAGCATTGTTGCACTGTAGATAATTTAAATGCACCAATATTTAGATTATAACCTTAATTATTATCACAAAATAAAATGCAAAATGGTTTTCGACTACAACTAATACATAAATGAATATGCAATAACACCTAAAATGAAGAATATAAGTAAGTCGATCTAATTATGCAAATTATTCAATAATATAGTTAAAATTTTATAAAAAGCAAAATACTTTCCCGACAATGGTGCCAAAAACTTAATGAGGATGTGACGGAACGATGGAGTATAATTTTGAATTATAAAAAGATATGATTAAGGGTCTATCTCTCCTAAATAATGCTTAGATTTCTTCAATATAAAAAAATAAATCTCACTTAATATACATAATTATAAAAGTTGAATCAACTAATAAAATGACATAATAGAGTGTTGAACCCACGAGGAAATATGCTTTTTCAGCAATCAACTACTATTGTTTACTATGATTGCAAAATTATCCTACTTAAATAAAAATGTTTGCTTTGGAGATCCTATCACTAAATAATAACAGTAAAATAAGGGATAGAATATTTAAATAAAATATTTTGGATTGATGAAATATAAATTGCATATTATTCCTAATAAAATTTTTAATTGTGATGTGATTCAGAGCATATACATCCATAGATCTCTATCAAGCTTATAGGGATGAAAATAATATATGCTGACCTCTTACATCTATATCATCTTCGTAAGAATCTAACATATTTTATATCATATGTCTAGATATGCAAACATACTATTTCAATATTCTTGGTTATTATTGCATTCCTCCGTCGAGGCTATACATCACCCTAATTTTTAACTACACATATGACCACTATGTACATTAAATAAAGAACGGGATAATATTGAAAACATCTTTCTTAACTTTAGTGCACAAGAAATTTCATTAGTACTTAATATGTTTTTTACATCAACAATCTAAAACTAAGGAATTAGCCAGATATGGAAGAAAAGATAAGCAAACTCATTTCTAATAAAATCAGGGAATGAAAATACAAGAGAATGATATCGCCGGGATGTTTAATGCATCTCCATTACACTCATTCCTTAATGTATGGAGTTGTTCAAACAAACACATACTAAACAATATAGTGATTGTATAAGTACTTCTCTAAACTCTCTTAGTTGTCACCCTAAAAGAGATTTAGAGAAGCACTCAAAAAATATATTTGAAACTAAACAAGTGATTGAACTCCCTTATAAATATAACAGAATGACTATTCATAGGAAAAAACAAAGTAGGCAACTGACGCTGTAGCACTTGAAAGGTTAGCCCCGATGCGCCCAACAAATGAACTAGTGCCGCTACGCCGCTGTTCTAGCTCCACCGCGGTGCTTGTTGACGTGGATTAGTTAGTAAACAATCGCGTCATTTCGCTGACAGGTCGTGTCCTTGAAAAGTTACAATTGCTACACTATGGCGCTGCTGAATTTTGAATGCTACGACACTAAAAGAGCAATTTTGTTGCTAAGGCGTTATAGATTCTGACGCTGCGGCGGTGGACGATAGAGAACATGGCGCTGCAAAGTTGAACATTTGACACCGCAGCGCTGTCTGACAGAGGAGCTGTAATGTCAATATTGTGGCGCTCTGGTGGTGCCTTTGAGGGCTTTGTGGTGTTGTTTAATCTGACGCCGCAGTGCTATGCGCAACTTTAGAATTTTGTATATTTTTCTATATTTTTTCCTGCACAATATAACTAAAATAATATATTTTCATTAAAAATATAACTTTAAAATAACACATTATTTACACTTATCAATAAAACTTTTTTTTTAATCACAAATCTGATTCATCTCAGGAACATTGCTAGAGAAAACAATAGAACTTTTGGATGCATTAATGTGGAGCCCAGACATAGACCCAAAAAGATTTAAGCATCTATTAAGAGCAGCAGCATTATCCCTTGAAGCCACACCAAAAACAAGGAGATCATCCGCATACATGAGGTGATTGATGTAGTTATCTCTACTGCAAATACCTTTAAAGCACGACAACTCTTTTATTTAGCTAATAAACACGATGATCAACATTACATGATGAAATCTAGCTCCATGTATGCAATGCAGCAACAATCCGGGGCGAGCAAGAAGACTTGAATTCTACCGTAAAAATAAACATATAGGACTTATTACATAATTCAACAAAAATAGTCCTTCAGATAAAAAGAACCTGGAGTTTGTCATAAGAAAGTAAATGCGGCCATGTGCATTGCATTGTCTTCCTAGTTCCTCAAATATTCATCATCACTTTCGAGAATGATGCGGAGCAGGTTAAGGAAGAGACTTGCGGCACTTTATATCCTTACTAACAAACTCTGCCTACCACCATCTTTTTTACTATTTTTCTATTTCTACAGTACAAGTACACTTTTTCTATTTAGTAGCTAGTTATAGTATTTCACCGGAGGAGATGAAGGTATATAGGAAACATTCCGGTCTCCTGTTTTCTTTGGCTTGGCGTCACTTTGTGCAGGTGCTCGGCGATCCGTTTGCAACAGAGAACAGGCTCCCTCACTAAAATGTAAGCAAGAATCAGCTCTCCTTAGTCACCAAGTTCAGGTAGCTTTTCTTATGCGAATTAACATACAGACTAAGGCTTCCTTTGGAGGACTTTTTTACTGTTTTTAAAGCAATTTTTTAGTTAAAAAAGTTCATTTTTATACTAAAAAACTACTTTAAGAAGCAGAAAAAAGCCGTCCCAAACGAAGCCTAAGAGTGCAAAAAACTAGCATATTTAGATCCAAGGAACAGTCTTTAGACACCAAGGAACAGTCTTTAGACACATATTTAGATCCAAGGGCATAAAATAAATCCATGAAAACCGAGTATAATCGTCAATGAAGATCACGTAGTAATGAAAACCATCTAGAGAAGTTTGTTTCGCCGGTCCCCACACGTCCGAGTGAATTAGTTCGAACGGTGTGGTGGATTCGGTTAATCTTTTATTAAACGGTAATTTATGGCTTTTGGCCACGGTACAAGATTTACAAAAAGAGATAGAATTAAAGTTCTTGCAGTCCGGTATTAGCCGAGCTATGGTGGGAAGAAGTTTGTTGTTAGGATGCCCAAGACGAGCATGCCATATTTGAGAGGTATCCGCACTGGCTTGTAGAGCTGTGTGTTGGTTCACCGGTTGCTGCTGTATATGGTAGAGCCCTTTATGAAGGTGACCACGAAGTAGAAGATGATTGTCCAGAGAATCCTTAATTTCAAAGCCGTTAGTATTGAAAGTAATGGAAATAGAATTATCGGAAATTAATTTGGATACAGAAAGAAGATTATGTGTGAGTGAGGGAACGTGTAATATGTTGCGTAACCGGAGCTTACGAGGAGTGTCCGGTAACGGCAGAATTCCTTGACCAGAATTCTGTATAGGCAGAGTGGAGCCATTTGCGACGGATACAGTTTCTTGGCCAGAGTAAGGATACGACTGATGGAGCTGATTCATGTTAGGTGTGAGATGCGTTGTAGCCCCCGTGTCAAGAACCCAGTCTTGATTGCCGTATGGAGGGGTTTGAGCTAGCAGGGCTTTCGGTGCTGGTGCCGGAGCATACTTTTGAGTATACTTGTGCCAGCAGTTAAGTGCACTGTGCCCTGTTTTGCCGCATTCTTTGTCACTTCAGCATTTTCATGGTTCATTAGCTTTATAACACGTTCCTTAGCCTTCAGATCTGGGACAATGTTGCGACCAGCAGGGTGGAATTGAATGAACTGGCACAGATCATAACAGGCAACAGCTAGTGCTGTTGGATCATTGAATATATCAAGGATTGTGAGAAGAACACGTGGGATCTGCAAATCATTTTCTTCAAAATTTGTAATATTATCCTTCAAAAATCCAGGATTCTTGTGCATAGGAGACCAGTCTAGCTGACCAAGAACGACTTCTTGCTTGTATTTATCAAAGGAACTCAATCTTTTGATGTTATCTTTAAGTCCTTCTTCTAGCTGATTCAATGCTTCCAGCAAGTCCTCATCATTCCAGGATTGAGCTTTTAGGCTGAGGACAAGTTGTAGTAATCCAAGATCCAACATTTGAGCACCAAATGCCCCCTTCGAAAGCAAGTTTCTGAAAGTCTAGATGACGACCCTTACAACCTTCTCCTTAGTAGAACCTTTAACAACTTCAACTAGTCTTGGAAGAATCCTAGTAGTAGCCAAGTAATCAACTGCAACATTATAGTACGACAACAGCCAAACAGTTAGGCATGTTTCATAAAGAATCTGAATTGATTGTTGAGTTGATGCTGGAGTAATCAAGGGAACTAACAACTTCACACTATCTGCTTGTACAAAAGAAGCTCTCACTGAAGTTTCCCTTAGCAAAGTCGGGATTGAGCTTTTCATTTATCCTGATGAGGGTATGCACACTATCCTGATGAGGGCATGCACATATTCTATCATATGCCCTCATCACTGAAGTTTCCCTTAGCAAATCCCCCATTTCCCTTCACACTATCTGCTTTACGACAACAGCCAAACACTTAGACCGCAGTTTATCACGCTCAGATACCTATGGCCAATTGTTAAAATGGCTTACAATTGGCCATAGGTATCTGAAATGTCGTGCGGGATAAAGAAATGATAGAATATGTGCATGCCCTCATGAGGATTGAGCTTTTCATTACATGACATTGGCTACCTATTTATAGCCCAAAAAAAGGAACATACTAGGCTACACAAAACAAATGAAAGCACTAAATCTATGTAGCCAGATAAGCTACCAAATGGATTGAATTATCCTGAAGTTAACACAACTAATGGCTCAGCTCCGGCGTCATCAGCTTTGTTGTCATATATGTCTCCCATGGTATATCCCTCCTTAGAACCTCTTCTAAAGTCAGCTCGGCACGATTCATAGATATAGAAGGGCAGAGAGGGGAAAATCAAACAGGAAGAGCAATTCGCTTGTCAAACGCCTTGGGGGTGTTTGGTATCGGATTTACCTTCAAAGCCAGTGAGCTCTCGTTGTTGCATCTGATCAAAAATGTCCTAACTTCCGATCCGACAGGAAGGGAAAGTCGTCGAAGGAGCGAAGTCGAACAGAGCCGAAGAAGCGACGCGTGCAATCTATACACCTCCTGCGAAGCAACGAAGCCGAACAGCAACGACGAAAATAGAAGATGAAAGGCAAACCCTACCGGAGGGCAAATTGTTGTGTCTGGTGTCCAGATTCGTCCGGACATAATTACAGTGTCGCCACATCATCCAAATACACTGAAACCTAGTGTATTTGGGTGACGTGGTGTCACCGAATTGGATGTCTGGATATCCGGTGACTGGACGCAATAATTCACCCTACAGGAGGCAGGAGTTATCTTATGGTGGAGAAAAGGGGGGAAAGACATCAATAACCCAACCTATTTTTATGGGAAGAACAATGTATTAGTAAACTTGATTGATTATTCAAAATAAATATTATGGTCTATTCTTATAATATCGAATAATGTGATTTACAGTGATATAGAGTTTAAGTTTTTACTCTTATTAAATTCATAATTTTAAAGTTAATGTGCTTACTGTGAGTCACAACTAATAAATTCACCTATATTAGTGTAATGGTTAGTAGCAATTAATGAGAATATAGGCGAGTTCTCAAGAGCACTTATGAAACCCATATTCAAATGCATGATAGTAAAACGTCAAATTGCGATGAACAACAATCATTTATTTGATATAATGTTGGTTGATAACATTGCTAGCTTATTCAAAGAATCAAATTCAATGAAATATTAAATTTCACTTAGTTCTTTAAGTAAAGATTTTCTTATCATAAAATATTAGTTCGTAGTCCAAAAGATACTAATATCTATGCATTATATCTTTTACTCGAAAGAAACTCTAATTATAGAATTTAATTTTCTTTAAAAATGCAGGGGATTGCTATGTTTTTTGTTTTTTCAAAAGAAAATTTATAACATAAATACTTATTGTTGTTTAATGACTTGATTTGAAAATATTTAAATTAATTATCATAACATTTGTAATTAATTGTTTTAATGTTTATAACATTTGTGTTTAATTATCATAACATTTTGAGATTAATTCTATAATATTTTAAGCCAAAATTGTTATCTATTTTTGGTCTATATAAGACCTTCTCGTGTATGATGAAACTTTTTCTTCTCATCTTTCTTCACTCCACCTAATATCTCTTCATAGCAAATATTTACATAGTTGCTTTTACTTCCCATTGTAATTAGTGCAGATAGCCACCAAGAGTGTTGAATTCTGGGAGTTAGATCGTTGTGTATCTTTGCACCTCGGAGGAGCGAAAATCTAACTTCAAGAATGCTGCTTCACATGCCTCGGTCTACTTATTTGATAAGTTTTTTAATTACAATTATTTTATTGCTCATTTATTTATAAAACAAGGTACAAGTTTGACTCAAATTTGGTCAACCGAACTCGAACTATTTAATAAATGGGTCTAAAATATGGACAAGAATCTAACTCGTTAGCAAACTGAATGATCAGAACCCGACCCATTAACACATTTGTAGGGTTGTTAATTTTAATACAACCCAAAAACTTGATCTGAATCTGACCTGAAAACCTAACCCGAACCTGGCATGAAAATTTTAGTTTCAGGTCAACCGATTTGGAAAAATGGGTCTGGTTTAGGATTCATGTTCTAACTTGTTTATGATTTCGAGTCAGGTTCGGGTCAACCTGAAAACTCAAAAGCAACCCGAAATTGACTCGGGTCCCAGTCTCGCACTGCACCACGTAAGTCCCTGCCCCACGCTCACCCTCATGGTCCGCGGCCATGCATTTGCCTGCCTCACCCCCGCGCTTGCCCCAGTGGCCCACGCTCGTGCTCATAGCCTCCCATATGTGCTTGTCTGCCTCACCTCCATGGTTGGTGCTCGCGCTCGCTCCCCTGGGTTGGGGGGGAATTTCTTACCCATTTCTATGTTCATGTCGAAGCAATTGAGGGTGAGTTAGTTTCGGGAACTTGACTCAAAAACTCATTTTGACACCCCCTACCTATTTTAATTAAAAAAACTAACATTTAAATAATAAATTTAGACTAATTAATAAAAAAATAAGGCAATCATAATAACTAATAAAAAAATTTAAGAAATATAAATTTAAACGATCTCTAGCGTTTTATCTCAACAAATTCCCCAATTATAGAAATGGATATTATTTGTAACTAATGATAAATACTATTTGAATCATTTGAATTGAGACAAGTCCTATTATTTTTTTAATGGACTTCTCATATAAAAATTGTTGTGTCGCTCGGGACCTTTTATTACATGCATGTGTTAGATCTAATCACAATATTAATACAATAAACTCTCTATCTTTTTATCAACATAAATGTTCTTACACACAATATCAATTTTTTTTAAAGAAAATCAGCTCAGTATAATCTTGTTTATTTTAATTATAAAATATTATTATTTTTCTTTTTTAAAAGAGAAAAATAAATGCACTACTCATAATAATTTTTAAAAACTTTATTTTATTTCAAAATTTCACAACTAAATTGACAAATAATTACATCCGCTCCAATGCAGATTAAAGAAATAATCAGAAAGGTGGAAAAAATATCTATTCCGTAAAAATAAAACCCTGAAAAGTAAAACGATCGTTATTTTGGCTGAACGCATATGCTAAGCTCGATTCCGCGTTTTGGGCATTTTATTTATTTATATTTCATGCCATTCACGTTCAACGAATCTAAGAAATTGCCACTACGCGGTGCTTTAGAAATGACGACGAATAAGACGACTACTAAAGTTCTACAAAGCTCTGCGGAGGGGCATCATTTTTATTTTTTTTTTGCTTTTGTAGTGCATAGTAAAAAAAGTAAGCTACGCCCTTCACCGTTGGATTTGCTTTATGATTCGGAGAAATAAAAAAAGTACTAATTTTAATATGATCTTAATGTAAATCCGTTCTTTGCAATGCTAAAAACGTAACAAACACTTCCATTCGGAATAAAGAAAATTCTATTATTTTTATAAATGGTTTGGTGGAGGCGACTTTGATCGAAGTGGGAGGTTGATTCTGCAATTTCTTTATTTATATATTCGCACAAAGCACCCGGCATTTAGCGAATTAATCGTTGAATGAGCTCATGATATATCGGTGGGCCCTTTTGACTCTACGCTACTAATAGAATTAAGTATTTAGCAAAATGATTCCTACAACCATAACGCGTAAAGGTATGAAGTTACCTTAGAAGTTGAATTTTAAGCTGTATATTTCAACCCTTATTATTTTTAAGGGTTATAAATTGTGTTTATCTTATTTAGATATTTTACATTAACTGAGATTTATGGCAAAAAAAAAAAAAAGTAAAGTCATTTTTTTACAATCTTTCAAACAACTCGTAAATATTATTTTGCATCGTATTTTTTTTATGCTGCATTTCTTTTTCATGCAACCAGACAACCTCTAAATGGAGAGGAGATCCTAACACCAATTAGAAGTAACAGCGCTTGTAGGTAGGATTTAACATTAATAAAATTGAACTAATCATTATTTATGTTTGTTGCTGCGGGCTAGAATATTTGGGACGGAATAAAAATTGGGTGCCTTAGCTTTGTACGAGTATCCATCTCACAAACAAAAACATTAAAAACACCATAATTTTTTTAAGTGAAAACCCTTGAAGGAAAAAATCACGGGGCCACACACATTTGAAATTATTCTACTAGTATTTGAATAGATTACAAATAAATAGTTTGTTCTTGAGACTGAGGACAATCAGTCTACAATTATCAATCGTTAGGTTGAAATCTTACTACAAATAGAGACCGAACAGAAATCCACTATCATTCAGTGGATGGGCAGAAATCCAGAGTCAATTTGTATTCGATAGGGAGTTCATCGACAGCTGGTGATCGAATCAGAGTCCGCTGATTGCTGGTGGTCGGGCAGAAGTTTGATGACAACTGATGGTCGTTTGTCAAGTGTTATAAATGCAAACACTTGGTGATTATCCAATGTATTCTTATAGCTATAAATAAATATGAATTAGAGGCTAAACATTCAAATACTTCACTATTTTCTCTATTTAAAACTGTAATTGTATTAGCTAAACCAGATTAGCTCCTTTTAAGAGTTTTTTTATCAAAGTATTTAAAATCTTATGATCGTTTGGAATGTAAAAGTTT